TAATTGGATTAGTTAAAGTAGATAATAAGTTTATAAAGAACATGACAAGTACGTGTTACAAGCTACCATGATACAGCTAATATTACATACTTTAAAATTCTCACCCTACAAAAAGTAATGAAAATAAAGAACCATACAATGTACAATATAGGTCTTAGTATAATTTTATTGGATGTCTACTTTACAAAATTAAAAAAATGAAACATATTTTACATTTACACATTAAAAAAACAAGACTACAGTGTTACCAATTATAGGATGGACTTTTGTAATGCTCTAAAAACTCATTAAAAGCCTTAAGGAGTTTAGTAGGCCTACATTGTGTTTTAGTATGATTTTAACGCAAGACCATAATGGGACCATAAAGGTAGGACTTCCTCTTCCACAAATGTATGGCATTATAGCATTTTTGTAATATTAATAACACTAATAAAATGTTTGAATAATGATTTGAGAACAGCACTGTTGTTGGAAATCAATTGAATGGCATTGTACAAATTGTAAAGGCTGCAGTTAGTGGTTGAGATGTTTGGTTCAGTAAGTGTAATAGTGGGTGCACCTCAGTCAAGTGTGTAATCACAATTGTTCAACTTAGATCACGCATTACACCTTAAACTGCTGGAAATTGTTTGAAAACATACAGCGCTATATTACCCACCGCTGAATGTGGTAGTCAGAGCTGGCGCACGTACCAAACTGGGACGATGACTCATTTCGATTGTCTGGTCTATCACCGGTGCTCTAGGAAGGTGAAGAGGTCCTTGGCAGTGATGGTTGAAATAGAAGATGAGATACTGGTAGTAACAGCTGGGGCTGGTAATTAAAATATGCGACACCAAAACAAACACAGGCCAAGTTCAAGTATTGGGATATTCTGTAGGCTTTACAATTACAGCATAATCATTACTAACCTATATACACTTAGAAAATCAGTAATCAATAACAATTGTAGATTTAAAGTATCACAAGGAGAACTTAGTTAAGAGGGGGCATGCTAATTGGGATGATTAGTTAAGAGGGATCAGTGACCATTGTAAAAATGGTGACAAAATGAAGACATGATCAATTCCATAGGATATTAGTTGCATGGAGGTGTTTCTATATCACCAGAATTCAGCTTTTGAGCTCCAATTCTAAACAAATTCAAAGAAAATAAGGGATAAAAAATTAACATCAGAGTATGAATGTAGGTATTTGTTTGGATGCGGCTTCAATCGCAGCATGGTATCAATTTCTTGCAATCAAATTCATACAAGCAATGGATAATTGGTAATTTTGTCACATTAGCTCAATAGATTACACCAACCATGCATGCACAGACCAGCTTCTCATAGCTAAATGAATTCATTAATTGGACGGATAAGCTAGGTTCTCTCGTCGAAGAATAGCTGGTGGAATCTAGTTGGGATAATTACTCGTGGAAATTGAACTGGGAATGCACTAATGGCCGCTACATCCAATTAAACAATGATAGTATGATCGGTACATGAAACCCTTAAAATCAATTTCGTCATTATTAAATTTCCCGAATGTAAATTACAGAGATGAATCATCTCAGATAAAACAGTTAACACACTATCACTAAAGGAATTCATTAGATTTTAAGCAAATAGTTAAGTAAAGATTTTCTGAACATTCAGCTTGCCTGAGCAAAATATTTTTTGTAGCCTAATTTTTCTGAATTCCATTGCCTGCTTTATTCAAACTATTCTTGCAGTGATCTTGCAGTGATCTCACAGCAGTCTCAGCATCGGTCTCTGGTAAGACCAAAGTCTGCCACCATTACAGACCTAATAGATACTTATCTACCACGACGCATACTTCAATTTTCCAAAATTACCACCACACTTTAAAAACAGGTGTAGCATATCATGGTAGCATATCATATCAAAGTCAATCAACAGATCGATTGACTTTGGTCGGAATTGCAGACGATACTGTTGCTTTTTGGCTCCCTGGCTCCCCCTTGTGGAGCACCATCACTTGGACTGTTTCAATGCCATATTCAATTAAGTTTGATGAGTCACTCCTGCTCTCTTGAGCTTGGTTGGTGCTTCCCAGCGATTCTACTCACCGACATTTAAATTGATTAAGTACACAGTTAATGCGGTGTAAGTTTTCTCAAGTGTTTGTGCTAAGATAGGGAATATTTTCAAGTGTAAAACTGTACATATGTAAATTTATATGCATAAAAGAAAAAGATAGGTATATCTAAATGTCATTGTCAATAAAACTCAAGGTTCACATCTACCAAATATATCAAATTTTTAATATATTCAACAAATTTTTTTTAGCATTTTAGGCTCATAATGTATTGTTGCACAAGTTTTACATCGGCTAATAAGTACCATGCTGGTCCCGACGATACAGTACCCAGCACAGTACCGATCTCGGATCACTCTGCTAGTCAGTAACAATCCTTGGGTTTTCTTTTGGTACCCAATCCTAGTTTGTTTCCCTTAATTTTGATGTCTGCTTTCTAATTTAAGTTCCTGCTCTCTATCCATTGTCAAGGTATACTTAAAGAACAAAAACTGTGTTTCTTGATCAGATAAACATTGTTCGCTAACACAATACTCAAGCCTGTTTCATTGTCGGCATTTTGTTGCATGCAAAACAAAGTAACAAAAGGCATTAATCAACTAACCCTACAACATCAAACTAATTTAGACCTACTCTGAAAATTACAGTGCTAATCTCATCTACACTCGACATTAACACTATGACAATGAACACTGCTACTTAAACAATTATTTTGAAAAGATCTTGTTAGATTGAGTCGCTAAATCCTTGATGTTTCCATCGACCAGGAAGCTTACAATGAACAACATTCTAATTTAATACAATCATTCCACATTATCACAAGTATCAATTTCCCCCTTCAGTTAGAAAAAGAATGAGATTATAGACAAGATTAAGGAATGTGCTTTGTCTTAATATCGATTGTTCACTTGTTTCTATTCACTAATCAAAGAATTTAAGATAACTATCCAAGCTAATTTTCATTAAGAACAACTTTTTATCAAACCAAAAGATAAAATATTGTGTAATTAGTCCCCCTTACACAAAATAGTATACACCATGTGAGCTGTCTGTTTAGCTTATCTGTAAGAGTTAGTTCAGAACAAAATGATTTACAGCTTTAAGTTGCCATTCCTCAATCTGTAGATACCTACAGTAAGTACCTAGATGCTGCAGGATTCACTTTTTTTATTAGCCCAAATGAAAAATATAGATGGTGTAGGGGTGGGGAAAAAGTTCTTTATCTTTATAAATTAAAAATATATGAACAATACAATGTAGGCAGGTTCATTTCAGTTCAGACAAAATAATGCTACTTTGTGTTTTTAATGTAACTTTGTGTTTTGTACATTACCGTCATAACTACACAGTAATTAGATTAGCGTAACAGAACGCTAGGAAACTACGACCTAAATGTAGTTATACCAGAATGTGACCTCTTGAACTCAAGTGAATGAAGACAGTTGCCCAGTAAAGCGGTTACCTTCTAAAGTGCACACTAGCTACAACTGACACAAAACTTACACGATTTCACCAATTTAGTTAATCCATTCAACAATTAATAACTAGCTATAAAATATCGTCACTGGCTTAAATTAACTGATTTTAATTGGCTAATGTAATTATACATAAATCTGTGCCAACACAATGGAACAGAATTTCATGATGCAACAAGGCAAAAAGTTATAAAAATGTTGTTTTTTTTATTTTTAAAATTTACCAAGATAGAATTTAGAAAGAAATAATAACTTACCAAGACAGAATGTAGAAAGAAATAAGAAGTAATCCATTTTTAAAAAATTGGTTTATGAGTACACATTAGAATGCTAGGACAATCACCTTTTAAATGGATTTGCATGAAAGAAGAGGAATGGGAAGTAGGAATTGACAGGAAAAGTATATTTTTTGTTATCTCTTGAAAATCTTAAAAATAACATGGTCAACCCTATATAGGGTTTATCTTGATTTTTATCAGAGATTTCACAAAGAAAAGTTTTAAAAGTCTTGATTCTGTTTATTATTAATTGTTATATTCTGTATTTTGTAATTATGAAATATGAAGACTGAATACAGTAGAAACTGCAACTAAGGAAAGGCCTATACAGTATGACCAAGCCACTTGGATTATGGTTTGTATCCATAATGACTTCCGTATTTGTCCCCTCATAAATATCTCACTTGTATGCGTACAGTTTAGGCACAACAGCTGACGTTCTTGTTAGTATATGATGCTAGTTGTATATTAATTATGATGTTGATTACAATCTATGTGAGTTTGATACTCTGTGACCTGTAATATACAGATTACTATCTGTGTTGTGGACGGACACTAAATGATTGGGTGTCTGCAAACATGGGGTAGATACCTTATGGCTACAGTACAGTGGACGAGAATGCAAATCTTCAAAAAATGGGGGGAAAGTATTGGTAATTATTTGAATATTTTTATTGAATTCTTGTCATAATCATGTTGAGCATTGTTTTATAATATCACATACTATGCTTTAGAAAATATGGTGTAAACTTTTGTTAACAATATGATAGACATAATATAGTACTTAGTATGACTGTGTGATTTTTATCTAAATTCTAAAGTGGTTTTAATATAATAAAGTAAGCTTATCTTATCAAGTTTCAATTTCTTTATACAGTAATCATAAAAACAGTAACAGATAAAACTGACGAGTTCAAAAGTTACAATACAGGCTGGCCAAAAGAGCATAGCTTGTGAGAAGTATGGTTATGATTTATGTCTATTTTTTATAGTTTATTTTATTTGTATTCAATGTGGCTAATTAAATAAATATTCACTATAAACTAATTTATTATTTATTCATTGTATTCTATTCCATTTGTATCGATGGAAAAAACAATACAAAAGACAGAAATTGTTTTTCTTAAAAGAGATACATTAGTATCAAAAAGATGAACTAAAACATTATATACACTGCAAAATAAGCACAATAATTATCACCTACCTTCACATACAGTATCTTTCATCCATGTACACTTGCTAATTGTTCTTGATCCTTCTGGACATATAGTACACTCTTGACAGCCCTCAACTGAGCTGTACTTATCAGAAAATGTTGAATTACCACACACGACACACTTAGCGTTATGTTCAGAGGAACACGGAGTAAGTGCCCCCCACCCCTTTATGCACAGATCGCACTGCCTGCACGAGAGGTCATCTTTACTTCGATAAAAGTTACTTTTGCACTCACAAACGGTATCGTGTGTTGTATTGCACGGGTGTTTGACTAGTTCATTGTTTGAGCATGGGCTGCACACCTCGCAGACGGCTTCATGGCTTGATGATGCCGAGAATGTGTTTCCAGGTATGCAAGCTTCGCAGATTGTGTTATTGTCTTGGTCACATGGTGATAAAACGCCAAATCCTGGAGCACAATTCTCGCAACAATTCCCATTTGAAAGGAACTTCTCATTTGGACACACTGGTAACCCTAAAACCTTTTTGTCAAAAAAAAAAAAAAAAATTGAATTGTTTTTAAAATTATAGACAATAACCAGAGATGGATATACATTCATGGAAGGGGGGTGATGTCCCACAGGGCTGAGGAGTAAAGCCATAGCAGGGGTTCAGGGGAAAATCTAGAGAAAACAATTTTTTACATTTTTAAACTGTTATGAGATGTTTAATGTACTAATTTTAAAGTAAACAAAACATTTCTGTTTCGTGTCCAACAAAGTATTAAGTTATCTTATGTATCACGTCGGGGAGGACCTGTACTAAGTAAAGTGTCCCAAAGCCAACTAGGGCGTCATTGGTGGTGTTGGTGGGAAGGGCCTGGCATGCCGCGGTGGGTGGTGGTAGGTCGACTCAGGGAAACTCCAGGGGATATCTATAAAATTAAATTTAGGAAATTATTTTCCCCGATGGGGAGTGGGGCTGGTCTACTTCCCAACCAAATCCTCCCCACCACACCCACCACCCCCACACCATGCACACACACACGGGCACCACAACTAGGACTTAGGCTAGGGGCTTGGGGCTTACCTACAGTTGGCCTAGCCCCCTAGATAGGCCTAAAAATGACCCAACCAAGGAAGGCTGCCTACGGCCTAGCCTAGCCTAGTAGGCCTAGGGCCTACTAGTACTAGACAAAGACAAGCATTAATTAAAATGAAAAATAATACTCTACTAGCCTAATAAACGTCGGATCTATTTTAACCACTAGGCCTAGGCCTAGTTAAATAGGATAGTCAAATCAAACAAATTCATTAAAACAACATTGCTCAATGAAACTGAATTCGATACAGTACTTCTATCACGATTCATTTTCACACCAAAGAAAATAACATTCTTTGCTCACACAAATCACAATCACCTCTGGGTAGAACCAGGGAGTTGTCACTATAACCATAACAACTCCCTGGTAGAACCTATGGTAGAACCAGTAGCACCTCATGGTGGTGAAAACGCAACAAAGCGTCTACTACAAGGAGGTGCGCAAGACGGACCCGCAAGATGTTTAACATCTAGAATGTGTGATTTTGCGTATTAAAAATTAAAATTATTGATTGATATCAAATAAAAATATGTGTCATCGAAAACGAAATCAAAATTTGTCATGCAAAATCGATCACAATTATACAGGGGCTTGTATGATTAGCCATCTTGCAATTACAAATGATTATGGCTCGGCATAACCGGTACTTCAAAGCAGATTTTACGATTAACTTATACTGGTTATTAATCAAGGAGTCGGCAAGATCAAACGACTCACGTGTGCGAGACATGAGAGGAAACGCCGGCAGCAGGAATAATATTAAGTCGAGCTGTAGCGACTGAGACCATTATGGTATACGCCAAGAGACGAAAATTCTACACACAACTTAATTTTTGATCAATATTATATGTAACATGTAAGTAATTATCTTTTGACAAGCAAACAAATTTAACAAGTTTTTTTGCAAATATATAGGCCCTACGTCTATATATAATATACTGTTGGGCCCGGGGGTTTTCTGTGATTTCTTTTTAAACACGCATCTTCTGACGTATTACCTACTAGCCTAATATGATGTCGGCTTAATTTACGAAAAGATCAAAAATTACTAACAGTAAAAGTTCCTAGGCCCTACATAGGCCTATTTGTAGTTCACGTTTAGTTAGAACAGGCTCATAGCGTGGGGGGGGGGGGATGGTTAAGGGTGCTACGACGAACCGCCCAAAAACTGGAGAAGGTCCGCATTTAAAAACGAAGGATTGATATTCGTAGATGGGCCCTATTTACAATGTTCTCCGGAGTATCGGAGATCATATAAGCCAAAGGGTCCACTTTCTACTGAAACGAACCTCCCACAAATTAAGTCACGCTACTGTTAGAATGCTGCCTTATTCAACTTTAAAAAAAAAAAACTCATCAGATTGTAATTACGATGTTTGGGCTATAATAATTTATTTAAATTGAGAAAGTTGGCAAATTAAAGCTCAGAACTCTTTACCTGATGCAAAGTTTTTGCCTTCCTTCTATTTTAATGGGGAACATTTTCGAAACATGAAACTAGATCTTTTTTTTATGGCTGCTTACAAAGTAGTTTGGCCTCTCATTCCATGTTTCAATAAGTGTGTCGGCGATGTTTGATCTATGTCATTTTCAGGATCGTTAAATTGATGAATGCTTAAACAGAGGTGTCTTTTGTTTGCTTCTTCTTTCACCTTCTATGCCAAATCCTGAACATTGTTGTGAAAAGGCCAATAACAATGGTAGACGGAACTCCGGAGAAGCACGACCAAAACATCAACTTTCGCGCTATTTTATTTTATGAACAATTTTATAAAGGTGCGAGAAACAACAATGTCTAAATCCATGAGATTTTATGTGCAGGAAATCAGCAAAATATGACGTTAATTGTCAATTGAATGGCAAGTCGATTTTAATTTACCATGTGCGCGATATCAGCTGATTTAATTTAATCACACGAATTGCTTATAAACCGTACTTTGTGACAAAACATCAGCCAAATGGTTTGTCACCAGAAAGTCAACAATTAACATTACGGTATGATGGTGAACCAGCAAATGAATAAGTATACCGGTCTTCTGAAATATATTATAGTAAAGCAGGCCTACTTTTTTATATAATGATGCAAAATAAAATATTTTATTCAAGAAACGAATATAACGAAAAAACACAGACACACCCACACATATAAATATGAAATATATATATATAGGCCAATAAATATATATAGGCCTATATATATAATTATATAGGCTTATATATCACATTTAGGCTCTGCGAAAATGAGATTATAATTATGAAAAGTCCTATCATTATTTACTGTTGGTCGAGTAATCGGATGGATGCTTGGGGGTAGTCGGAATCCCGATGAGAACACCGTCCTTCATTTTAGAGTCCTGGAGGCCAGAGGTTTATTTCGTGTACATAATTTAATAAACAATTAAATGATACTTTAATAGGTTTCGACGACTTATTTCCTCCACACATATACCGTAGTCGAGAACGGTATCCATCATCGAGACCCTGAATGCGTAAAAAAAAAAAACCCCGATAATATATTTTGTGACCGTCATTCATAGAAGAAATGCAATTCCTGCCTAGATTAGCAACATGAGTATTAGAATCAGAGTTTGAGGCTTAAGATTAATATTAATTGGATATCACCGATTGATCGTCGGCAAGCGAAAGAACAAGACCGAACGGTAAATGTAAACGAATGATTACTTTTGTTTGCTCGATTCGTTTACCTGTGCTGTAATCTCAACAAATTGGTACGCTAGAGTACACAACAAAAGAGGTAAAGTCAGAAAAGAAAACAGCGGCGAACAATAAAGGCAAAGGGATCAGTAACACAGACAATGGCGTTGCAAACAAGGCCAGATATGGATACTCTGAACTGTATTTCAATAATCATGCTATTCAACTAACTCGATTCAACTTAGATGATTGCTAGAAAATAGAATTTCTATTCAATTGCACAGTAGCTCGTACTGCGACAATAAATTCACCAATGCAAAAAGGAGGGAGGTTAATTACAGAAATAAGATCCATAACACGATAAAAACTCACTGAAACTACCCCCTGGTTTTTTGTTTATGAGCTTTTAATATTTTACTGTACCTAGTTGCATTTAATTGAATCAATTGATCCGGAAAGCAGTTGGAATTACAATGCTTCAATCTAGCCAGAACCATAAAATTTCTCACTCTAAAAACTGACACTTGGCCCGTTATTCGAGCATTTTTTCAGATTAATAATGACGATATTCCATTAGACTGATACTTGCAAAACTAATTCATAGCACGTCTCTCTGGCATGTTACGATCCTCATAGATCTGAAACTGCGGCCGCGGGTAAATAAAATTTGTAACACAACATAAAATGATGTAATATTACTGGCACGTTTTCCGGAACACTTTCACTTGGCCTATTCATAGTTTCTATTCTGGTTCGAATTGAATACCTACCTGGATTAAGAAAAGTAGTCCTAAAATGAACAAAGTGCTTATTTCAAGACATAATGAACTATAAGTAGAAATAATCCTGTATGAGCAAGCAAAATACAATCAAGAATTTTAGATAGGCCTAGTCCTAGACCTAAATTGCAAATTGCATCGCTATCTGGTAGTGTATATAAATAATGAATTAAGCACACCAATAAAGTACTTACCGAAGAAAGTATACTAAATATAAACAATGCACACGTGATCGGCCCCTGGTTCACTAATAACGATTTCATTTTCAATTTATAAGATGTATCTTGAATAGAAACAAACTTTATTTAACAAAATAACACATTCCAACTTGGATAAGTAAGTTTCTGGCAGTCAGTGACTCTTCTGATAAGCCTCGGGAGAAAGTCTGTTCGCTTCTCCCCTGTCGAATCATAAATGCAGCTCTTGTGCTCGTAAAATGCAGGCTTAGTATTTACGTCTACGGTTGTAAAAGCGAGGTGTTACTTTACAGTACATAGTCATAAAGAACCGCCGACCTTATTGATAGGCAATTCGCAGCCAGCCGAACGTTCTGATTGGCTTACTGAGATCAGATTAATTCTGTACCGGGAATATTACGCCGTATTTGGAGGGTATTAATTAACACGACAAGTACTTTGGGTCAATAGTCGCTCTTCTACCAATATAATATCCTCCCTTCAACTAAATGACCAACCAAAACTGAAGATTTCTCTTAAAACTTGTGAATTCCTAACTTTATTGTGTCAACTGCAATAACAATCATGAGCGCCTTTTTAGTGTTTCGTCTACAACGTCGATCCATTTGTTACGTGTATAACTCTTTCATGGTTAATGGTTGCATGGTCAAACCATATAAAAAAAAAGTGGTGAAACAACTGAAAACAAAATGTAGTTATGGTAAAGTGTAGTCTAAGCATGAGTTCCCTGTTTTTTGTTTGTAACATTGTGAATTAACAACTCTTATAATTACTTTTGAAAGCTCATAAAACATAGGCAATTTAAACAAAACAATGAATGCATAATATATGCCTTAGATAAAATAAAGATGAAGAACTGATCTCAAATCTCACAAACATCAAATTAAAATATAGATGAAATAAAATTAATCAACTTCCACTGACACAGTCACAACAATCGAAACAAATTTTGCCTCAAAAATCGAAAAACGCGCATACAATAACCTAACGATTGTGAGTCTGTTATCGAGGAATATAATAAATGCAAAACGGCAAATATTATAAATTATAATATAAGTATATAAATTTATTAGCTCAACATAAACATTACGTTTATATATTTAAAGTCCGATTACCAGTGATGAATGAATTTGAAAGATCGTGTTGTGAGTGAAGTATTTTGTATACGTTAATGGCAGTATTTAGACACAATCGCCAAGCGGGGGCTGTTTGTTTTAATAGGTTTTACATTGATATCATATTTTTATTTTTATAAGTTACTAAAATAAGCATTTTATTAAATTATGAAAGCATTTCGGTGGTATATGTGCGGGGAAGTAGTCGGATAAGTGTAAAGTAACACAAAGAGCGTGCAAAGTGACTATTTATCCGATCCCAGCGATCAATAGATGATTAATATATACGTCATAGGCCTGCTGTTTAATAGTGTGGAGTGAAAAAACTGCACCGGTATGTCTTCAAAATCAATAGCGTTATTAGCAGACGAACAAATCGATACGTAGGCCTACGGTATCAGTCGACATGATCTCAAAAGATGATAAGAAAATGTTCTGTTTCGTTTATTCTCGAACACAGATATCAACAGAAGGGGTATGATCAATTGTTTGCACAGCCTTCTATTGTTACTTAATCGCAAATTTAATCTACACCATAGGAAAGATATGGGGAATAAAGAATATATAATAAAACTCGAATGCTCATACCGTGCTAAGTATGTGGTCTCTCTCAGTTGAATTTTTAGAAATAAAGGTCATATAGTGATGAAAGTTATGTTATGTTTTTTTTTTTTATATTTGTAGTAGGCATACGCTTGGTCTAGTTGGTGGAATAATCTTTTCGGAATATGGGTGTCGCGTGCCAGAGTGCGTGAAACATTTTCGGAGAGCTAGCCGGGTTCATGTATACAGTATTTAGGATTCAAAACTGATATAGTAAATTATTATCAGGCTTCCTAATGCCAGTTAACACCTGTATAAGACCGACATGCTACTCTATGAAAGGTCTATATTTAATACTTTTGATTTGACACTTCGACAAAAAGACAGATGTAGTAACGTTACAAGCTCATCATTTGATCGCACCAAGGACAAAAACATAAAATGAAACGTGAAAAGAAGACGAAGCTCGTAAACCTGTGCGGAAAATTTACAACTTTTGAGGAATCACACATGTTTGTCTCCCTACAAGGTAAAATAATTACAGGTAAACATTAAAATCTAGAGCTAAAACTATAAATGAGATTTACTTTCTGAACTAACACGCACAATGAAGTTCACGCAAACAAAATGATAAAAGGCGAGAGAAATTAATAGAGGGCGCAGTCGAATATAATTTATGTTGGAAAAATGTGTTGAAATACCGTTTTTTTGTTTTGGAAAAAAAAGAATTTTAACATATCTTTTAAAATAAATTTGAATATTCTCTGCTAAATAGGCCGAGTAATAATGAGCAACCGCTGTGTTGTCATGTTAATTATATTTGTAATTACAGTGGGGGATTCAGAAATTTGAAATAGAGGAGGCCCTGCTGGGAGGGAATTTCACAGATGAAGGGTCTAAACCAGAAAATTGATGATTACGGCACCTCCAGATATGGCCGGAAATAATTTTATCTTTTTTTCTCTCTCTCCATTTTCTTATAATTTGAATACACCCTTGAATTCGCCACTGAATTAGAAAAATAGTGGCAGGCTAATGAATGTTACACTCTCATCTGAATTTATATCGCGTAGCGCGTTTTCTATTAGCCTATTAAGTTGTGGTAACTCAATGTTCGAAAATTTAGTGCCCGATAGCGTTGGCCTATTCTGTTTGATCTAAGGTTGAATTTTAATATTACAAAAACATGTTATAGGCCTAATGATCTAATATATGGTGATTTTTATTGCATAGCCTGGAGAGACGCGTTTACGTCTCCTGGTTCATGCATTCATCTTAATAGCGTAGACTTCCTACTACAGTTTTTTTACGGATTAAAATATGATTATGGATCTCGATATTTTTATCTTCGGTAGGCCTATGAGAAGTCCTATCATGTAAGCAATATAGAAATTTATAAAACCATCTTAGGTAAGTTCGTATTTAAGCTGCAAAATAGCAAGTGAACAACTGTACACTGTACTCATTATTTCCAATTACCTTGCTAAATAATATAAAGTAAATAACAGCAGCACTTTTAAGACTAACAATATAGAATTTATTTTCTAGCCTTTGTCCACACAGTGGACTTCATCAGGAGAGACTGTGATGAAGACCACTGTGTGGACGAAAGCTAGAGAATAAATTCTATAAACCTTGTTAGTCTCAAAAGTGCTGCTGTTATTTACTTTATATTGTTCTATACTGTATCAGACTAAAACACGGCTATACTTTTTATTCATCATCTTGCTAAATGAAAGTACTGTACTCCTTTTTGATTATGCAACGTTATCTATGGCTTTAAATTAACATATTATATCACCATGTACAGTACAATATGATATTGCTATTCTTTGTTACAATTTTACTAAAATATCAGAAGATTGTTCTGAGACATATACCTCAGCTCCCCCAATTTCCATTTCACAGTGCAACAAAAGACCTTAGGCCCTATAAAAAAAATTATTAGTTTATCACCCTATCAAAAAATAAAAACTGATGAGGGAGGGAAGTTTTTTTTTGTTTTTGTTTTTCGCTAATCCCGCCCCCATTTTACCGATGATCACAAGTAAATCAATGGTTAGAGACAAATATATAAAAAGTCATAAGAATGGAATCAAATTTATATTTAAAAAATGTTGTTGTACCAGTAAACCTATTTGCAAGAAACCCTGAGCTTTTCAAGTGAAAAAAGATGGAAGAAGGACCGTTTGAAATGAACATATGTTGATTGAAAAAAAAAAATAAATAAAAAAATAAAAATCAGATTTTTCCAAAAAGTGATGAGGGAGCGGGTGATAAACTAATAATTTTTTTTATGGGGCCTTATAGTTACAATAAAAATATCTTTGCAGCGCAAATTTTGGTGGTTTGCGCTTTACAAATCGTTAATATTAAACAAAGATAAGAACCGCGAAAAATAAACAGAGGGCGCTATTATTTTTTTATATTACTGAACAATAACTTCGTTTCTAAATCAAGTTGATATAAAACTGGCAAGTTATTATAAATCATGTTTACTTTAATTGTTTGCAGTTTTAATATTATTATTTATTGAAGTAATTATACTAAAATAGTAATGACAAAACTTGGGAGAAACTCAGGGGCGGATTTAGAGTAGGGGAGACCACCCCTTCACCTGCCCCCCACCCCCCATGGAAAATAAAAAACAAAATTTTAAAAAATTTAAAAATTTTAAAAAATAAAAAATTTGCAGGGGATACCCCGGACCCCCTAGGGGTGGTGTTATCTCAATCGACCCCCTTTCAGACATCTCTGGATTCGCCCCTATAACAGTAGTAGAGGAGAAGCAGCAGCAGTAATAATTGTTGTCTTTAAGGAGTCAAGTGGAAAGGAACCGTGGGTACGTGCGCAATGACCACATCATGTAACACAGACACCAGGAATGCATTATGTTTATAGCATAGACAATTTTATTTTTTTCAATTATCATTTTTTTTAGTTCACATGTGAATTTCTAAAACTACATTCTTTTCAATCAACCATCACAAAAAATATTGGCAAGGAACAGAGGAAAAAGCTGGGGAACATGAAAAAGAAAAAAAAAAGTATTCTCACTCCATTTTGGATGCTAGCGTTTCCTAAAAGCATAGAGTGTACTATACGAGTCACTAGATACATCCAAAACACAGGGTGTAGTAAGGTAGTGACTGGGCCCCAAGATACCAAGCTTGGGGGTACAAGTGACCTCGGTCAGGGTACTATTTCCCTGAGGTACGAGTTGCCTTAGTGGAAGTTGATCTTTGTCAGAAAAAAATGTGTTGCACCCGTTTAAAAACAACAAAGTTATTATGGCATCAATGCCTCTACAGTCAGTATTTCATCAGTTACCGTAGTTCCCATTTCCAACATGCAAGAATAAACACTTATAGAGGGCGCCCTCGCTTCGAGCGTAATGACGAATCCCTTCTTATTAATGTCATACATACCGGAACATAACCATGAAAGCATCATATTTCAGTCCAGTTTGCATAACAGTTTCCCACTTTTCTCACTTGCATACAAACATTACGGCAAACCCCAACCCAATCATGATCAATATGTGATGAAACCCAAGAAGTGAAATAAAAGAAACATTAAAATAAACATGCTTTTTTTTTATCTACTTTGTACTCCAATACATAAACATTTGACTAAAAGTTATACAACATAATAGCCCACACACAACATAGACGATAAGGTACACCCCATTACTGATCGTATCGGTAATAAATCGCTTCATTCAATTGGAATCATAACAATTTAAGCGGTTTATGACTGATATGTGTTAAACAAGTAAAAATTTGAATTTGAAATTCTGATGCAACTGAATTCATTTATATAATCAAAATCCAAAAAACATATTCAAGTGAAATCATATTCATTCTGATTAACAAAATTAAATAACTTCTTTTTACATTGAGCAGTGAATTTACTAAACACAAACACCTTTAAATTAGAATATGATATAGTTAAACAAATAATAAAAGATATTAATTTATGAACAAAATAAAACGACTTGTAAAATTACAATTTCAAAGACGGTGGAAAAATGGCATCACGAATGCTCCCTAACTCTTCATATATGGCTCAATATTATTTCTTGCCATATGAACTGATGTCAAGAGATTACTTATACGAGGAAGCACACTTAACGCTTATATCATTTTACGTAAACTGAATTTAACCGTTAAATTCCCATTCACACTACAAAATAACTAATAGCATTCATACAAAAATGTGCATTCACACTGTGTTTACATGTATATGTTTTGTTGTGTGAATGAGACTTTAATGTTTGTTAAAACTCAAAATGCTTAAAACCCCTTTTACATTGCATATAAAATGAGTTTACTATTTAGAACTAGTTTAGAATTCAATTTCCAATTGTTCACAATTTACATTCACATAGGAACAAGTTATCATTTGACTTGCATTCACACTGATTCGATAGACTAATAAATGAACGTAATGCTAACATGTCAACAATTAAGATATAGCCGATTTATACCAATTACAATATCTTGAATTATTATCAATAATTATAAAGTCCTTTCCCTTGTAATGTTTAGTTTATTCTCTCGGAAATGCTGACTAAAGTAAATAAACCCCCCCCCCCCCAATTTACCACCAGACGCACAAGTCTGAATGTGGTTCATGAATTCTTGCAATTAGCTGAATCAAATCCACTGTTAAGCCTGGTGTACACTGTATTGACTGAACTAATTTGTTGCTGTGTGAGCGGTTGTCTCAATGCAAAGACTGTTGACAGTCTGAGAGAATAATCATCAGTGTGTGATGGTCTCGAGTCGTCTGCCGCTACAGTGTAACGCCAGGAATACAGCACAATGCCAGGCTCAACAGACAAGTATTATAAGTTACCCCAGGGAGGCATAAGATTTTCGTTGAGGGCAGTGTTATTATCAATATCCATTGAAAACGTATATAAAATATCTGCCATTTACAACATCATTTTATAGAAGACATATCCCAACCTCTGGCAGAATTCACGAGTTTACATCTTGAATACTTCCTACTTTTTTATCTACTACATTGACAAAAATAAATGAAGCTGAATTTGCTCAAGATATGTGCTTCAGAAATCTCTTGCGTTTCATGTTATGACGGATGCACTTTTTTATTGTAATGCTTTCACTCATTAAGGAACAGTGCCTGAAGTCTATCAAGGCAACATTAATTTTCCAAACCCTTACAAGCGAAACAAATGTGCATGTTTTATATACGCAGGAAGCTGGAGCAAACCCTACAGGTTAGACTTAATTGCACAATCCATGTGAAAAATAATAACAGTAACATTATACAATACACAATGTATGTACTAAATATAGTGTTTGTACTCTTACAAAGTGTATGCTTTCATAGGGTTCAAGTAGGACTAAAATCTTTCTGATGCCTAGTAACTAACCACCTCAAACCCTCAATAAAAAAAATCAAAACCAAACTTAACAATCCTGTTCCTGGACTATAAAAATCAAATGCAAGGTTTTCAGTGCTAGTCCTCTAAAACGTAGCAGCAAGTGTCAGCCCTTCAAGATGGATTAGGAACATTGGCTTAGCTACTATACTGTTCAGCCATCAACCAATATACATATACAAACCCGCACTGAGGTTTCTAGAGTATAGGCCGCACCATAGGCTAAATTCAAATATGCTGATATGACTTTAGGATAAAAGATTTTCCTTATGGCTAAAGCACACATAATGCCTGTATCTTATATATCTACTTTCTTAGTTGTGAGTTGTATCCTTTGCAAAATAAAATCTGGCTACTTTTCTATTAAACATCTACAATCTGCATATATTCACTATACATTGAGATGCCAGACATCCTGTCCTAAACATTTTTCATACTTTTGCTTTTATCCCCTCCCCTTGTGCTTAACTTTTCCTAAGCCATGTGCCTATCTTTCTTTTTCCTACATACACCTTCCATTCAAAGACCACATTTCAGTTTACAGCATAATAAAGTATAATGATGAGTTGACTTTACCTGTACATAAATTGAAGGGATTATTAAGAAGGGGTCAAAAATGGGTACATTGATGATGGGGAACATGATCGATTTTATATTCTAACCTTTCACAATAGCACAGTACTTGAACTATTATCTGAACAATTGGAAAACAATCAATCTTACTCAAATGATAACCGACTGAATATTAGAGTTTCTTTATAACAGAATCTACATGTATATTATTAAACCAACCGATTGTTTTCCATATTTACCTAATTTAGGGATCACCATATTTCGACACACCATGTTCTGAACAATTCACAGTGCTATTCCTTTGCAACCAGAAGGCACAGTTCAATCTAAACACTTACCAATACTGTAATGGTAATGAAGATTGTGACAGAATAACGACTAATTCAGGAAGTTGCAGCAGTTAAAATGCGAGACTGAATATTATCAAGATGACACTTTCAGATACAAAACCAAAATAACAATAAAAACTTTCAAAAGAAACAACTGCTCTTGAGATGTCCTAATAGGTGCTATAATAGCAAGTGCATATGTGTTACTAATTCATTTGAAATTAGAGCTTAACGAAATTTAAACATTAATATAATATTCAACACCTTATAAACAAGGTTAAAAGTGTTTTCTCTACATCACTCTTAGGGATTAATATGCATAAATTACTTTAAAATTTTGTGGAAAACTAACATTAAAAATGAAATAAACAAAGTAATTGAAACATTTAAAAAAATGAATAATGATATCTATAATGTATAACTAACATTGACAGGAAGTGATGTCATCCAGTTGATATTGAAATGACCTCAAATGACCTGTATAGTACTGAAATGGATGTTTACAGCTGACCAATATTATTGACAGGCAAGTTATAATATGCCGTCTTTGCAAAAATCTGGAGTAACTAAAATCTTATACATCTAAAACAATCACAAAAAATAAAATCACAAATCTCCTCAAATTTTAATTTTCACATTATTTTCAAACACAATATATATATAATTATATATATATCATAGATATATAGATATGTATAAATATATATATATATATACAAATCCTAACCCTTTTACAAGAATTTTAGGTGTTTTGTAAAATGTAAGTTGTAATGCATGTGTGTGTAACGCAAAATTATATGAGAGTATGAGGAAAAGAATGAAACCATGCAAGAATGTATGGAAGTGTTTACTCTAGTAGTTCAAAGATATGTGGCACTGCAGTAAGGCTCCATGCCTCCAACTACTAGGTCACAAGCTTGAATCAAATGTCAATCACATGTCCTCAGATCTATGTCTCTCTCCACCCAGAAGTACCTGGTAGGATGTGAATGAAATAGGTCAGGTTGTGAGAAGTTGGCAGCATAACTTGTAATACTTCCCAAGGAGAAGAGGCAGTTGTATGTTGTGATGTGGCAGTTTGTGTATCTTATGACCAGGGGACATTTCATCTGCAGGTCAGAATATGTTCTTAGCACATTATAAGTGCTGGATTAATTATTATTTCATTAGAGTATTATAAACAGAGTGTGTTAGAGTAGAATAGTATGAGAATAAGGAATTGAAATATTTTATTTTCAAATCTAAGTATGAATATTGAATTAATATCACACCTAAAGTGACTTTGATTAGTCTTGGCTGTTTGTATGGTTTTTACTTATTCTGCTATAATTTACGTATTTATTTCTGTTAAGTATTCAAGGCTCTCTCAGAATAGCAAGTCATAGTAATGGAACTTAAAATAATTGAATGTAGCATCATTAACTTAAATTATGTAAAATACTGTTATACAATGATATGTTGGCAATTTCAAAATGGACTATTAGGTAACATGATCGTAAAACCAATACATGTTTGTACATCGGCAGCCAGATTGATGATAGTGCTACATAACATAAAAAGTAATTATTATTACTATTATGAACACAAAACATCCAACCAGTAGAAACTTGTGAATAATCATGCTACAAGGCAGCTAGCACTGCTGGTACTTCTAAGATATCCCGAATGAATGTACTTCTTGGTGTTATCTTAACAAGAGTGCTATCTTGAATGTGTTTCAATCCTATAGTGTACAACTTCTGGGGCATTGTTATTTATTACTGACTGCTACCAGGAATATTACTCAACTGACTGCGTAATAATGGTAATGCTTGCAAGGCGGTATTATATTTTAGCACTTCTTTTTGTTTTCAGAAATAATCTTAAATTAATTTGAAACAAATGCACAAGAATGACAAAAAGGTGGGAATTTGAATATTTTACTCCCAAATCTTAAGCCTTGGGAGTAGAAAATTCCTAGGATTTTATTTTTTGAAACACAATGTGAGGTGAAGTTTTTAATATATATAATGGGTTGTGACACTGATTTAATCTTTCTTGGTGGCAGTATTGCTTAACTACATAGTATACATTTTCCCTGGTCAATAATTACACGGCCAGTTGGATTGCAATGGTATACTTAAAATATTATTGCAACCAGGGAACAAGTGGGATGTGTACATTTATTATTTCCATGATAGCTGTTCTCAAATGCCTATCAATCAGACAATTCCCATCAGTCCTCATAACTCATACCAGGACTACAATCACAAAACTTCCACCAGTCCTAGTCTTAACAACTCCCAACAGTACTAGACAAATGATGTCAACCAACTCTCATAGTACTAAACAATTCTTAGTAACTTCCATCTACACTAAGCACAAAGTCCTAGAAATTTCCATTCAATACTCGACACAAATTGTAACATCTCCCACCAGTACTAGACAAAAAGTGCACATTTTATAATTTTTAGAAAGTTGTGGTCTGAAAAATAACAAAATAGTTTAATTTGTAGCACCAGCTGCAGAAACTAAATATCAAATATAACCAATTTTCCCCTTTTAGTAATTAATGTATAACAACAACAATAATATTAACATTGACTATTGCTAATAATAGCAATTTTGTATTCCAAAATTTGTATCAACATTCCAGTTGAGTTGTATTACTTTCTAATCTAGTGACCCAGACAGATCTTATTCAAAGGCAATTCTGTGTTCATATATGTTTTTGTCAGACAGTTGATTTTATACAGTCTTCATTCAAAGGCAGCTCTGTATTCCCATACTTTTTGTACTCAAGTGAGTTGCTTATGGTGATTATATAGCAAATTGTTTACTTTTAAAGTATTCCCTTTATTGATTGGATCTAAATTTGTATCCCTTTCAAATATTTCACAAACAAAATAGAATTAATTTTGATGAAGCAAGTTCCTACCTCATAGTTTATCCATCCTAAATTCATGGGTGGTATTCAATATTGGATTAGAATATTTTAAAAATAGATTCTAAAAAATCAGTGCATTTCAAAAAGGATGGGAAAGATCATAATATCTTAGGAGAAGAAAGGGATGAGATTAATATTCTCCATCTAAAATGTATACTACTATTGAAACTCTTCAAATATGTGCAGTGCATAAAAATGATTGCAAACAAGATGGTAGCAATTAATGGGGGGCAGGAAAGTTGGGTATGTGCATCACCAAAACCTACCAACACTCCAGCCTATACCCCACATCTTTATTAACCTTATAGTAGTAGTAACACAAAGCCTTCACATGGACAAGTCTGGTCACAACAACGTAATGTCTACTGCGAGACTGAAACTTATACCCCTAATATCTATTTTAAAAATCCAACAACGAAACCCAAAGGGGGAAAACAAAGAAAGTAAAACATATAAGCATATAATATAATGCTAGAAAGATTTTATCTTAATTAACATTGAAACCACTATTTGTATAGCAACCACTATCAACTGGGCTCTGTTCATTCACCTTATAATATACTGAATTAAATTTCATTAGCAATGTAACAATTATTTTAACATTTAAGTATTTACATAATAATAGTCATTTGTTTTTTTTCTTCAGAAAATAAAAAATTTACAAGGTTGTTGCTTTGTTGCAAAAAATTCATCTGTCCTTCCTCCACACAAAAATGGAACGCTCCAACCCGGGAGCTTCATAATGATTTCTTTTAAACCATAAGAGTTACCATAAGAGGAATATTATAGCGCTAACCCCAATAATAGGTGTGACGTGACATTGCTCAGCATATTCTGGCATGGTGGCACTCTTGTGCGAGTAAGCCTCCATTTTGGAGAGTGCTCAGTGGCAAAAGTTCACCTACGTCTCACCGAGTTAGCACTTTATGTTCTTATAATAAAGTTGTTTGAAATGGAAAACAACTGTTTGATCAAAAGGATAGCATACAACATTGATGGAAAATATTACAATCCATATGAAATGCCTATAGGCAACACATCATACATAGTTGCAACAAAATAGCGCCCTCACAATTTGATCAATTTCAATGCTTCATCACCGTAAATTGTAACCACATTAACTAGCCTGAGCCTGTTACCAACCCTTATAATTGAATTCCTACAACTTTCTTTCCACCACTTTCTTTGTTTTGTTTTCTTGTTATTCAGCAAAAGCATTTTCAATTAAAACCATGGCTATTAAGCACCTGTTTATTTTTTCCATTTTTATTTTTTTATTTTTTTATTTTTTTTTTCCATTAAAACTTAAAACATGCGATAATTCAAATTAAATACATGATCCCAAAAATTCTTCTTCAAAAACTGAAAAATTCAAACAATGTTTTTTGGAAAAAAAATGTATTGACTAGAAAATGCTTTTGCAGAAGAAAAAATTAGGAAGCAACATATTTAACAAAAATTTGATATAATTTCTATTATCAACAAATCTCTTACTGTACAAGAAAACATATTTTTGTTGTTTTTTCCATTGTCTCTATTTCCTTTCTACATTGCTTCTTCGGCTGAGAAACCTGAATCGCAATCATGTTACCTTATCCTTGGTAATGATTGCCACTTAATTCATTGCAAGCCGACTGACTGTATCAACGCACGTATCTGGTATTCTTTCGGTATCACCATTTCATTCGATCTTAGCTTCATGTAACAGCCTGAATTGCAATTTGTTCTTTTCAACTCTTTCAAACACTATCATCTCTTAAATCACAGTTCTGCTAATCTTTGGCTCAATGTGTCTACTTCATCTTCTGCGATGTCTGACTCCGTCCAGTTGCTGGGGACTTGCGACCTCCAGGTGATCGCCGACTTCCCGGGGAGCTGCGACCGTTCTGTTTCCGTTTGTCGCTTTCTCTGCGACTGCGCATAGCTTGATCATTCTGATCACGCTCCTTGTCCTGTTTTGGTTTTTGATTCGTTGCTGTTGTGTTCTTACCTCCTGATGGCACATTCTTAGCAGGAGGGGTACCAGTCTGCCCTTGAGGGGGGACTACTTCGCCCACCCCTGGTTTCCTGCGTGCAATTGCAGCATAGCTGAATTTTGTCGAACCAGTATCCTGTAACAATTATCAAATGGATCAATCATAAAAGCTTCATACGCAAAAGTGTAAGTAAACTGTATGTAAATTGTATGTGAATTTTAGGTGGATTGCACGTTAACAGACCTTTCCGGAGCGTAAACCAAACTTAACAACCGAACATTCAGAATAGTACCAGGAATACACACGCGTCTCACAAACACACGTTAATAATACATAATAATAAATACGATTTATAAAGTGTACATATCCACTAAGATAGCGCTCAAGGCGCAAGACACAGAAACAAAAATTTGAATTAGAAAACGCCCATGATTTTGCGTATGTTTTAAAAATGTCGTTTTGTGGGACCTTAGCAACAATATCCAATGGGCGAGGCTTAGTGGAAACGTCAGAGTTTAAAAGTCATAAAATGCAAGTGAATGTGTGATTTGAAAGTTAAGTTTGTAAATAAATCTTAAATCCCTAAAGTGTATGCGGTCTATGCGGCAATTTGTTCCACATAACAAGTGGTGGCACCGCCAGGGATAAATGAGACACAGGATATGAACCTGTAATGAGCAATTTGTAACTAAAATGAAAGGCACAATATAAATGTCAATTAAAATTCTAAAATCGTTTATAAAATTTAATTCTAAAAAGAAAGGTACTTACAGCAGAGGAAGCAGGTGCAGGCTGTGGTTCTGATGCGTTTGTGCCGGCTGTTTCTTTTGCATTACTAGTATTGACTTTGGTTGAAGCAGTAACTGGTAGTGATGGAGTAACACTTTCTTGTGGTGATGGTGATACCTGTGTGCTAGGCTTGGTAGTAGTCGGTGCAGCAGTTACCTGCTTGGAAGGTGGTTCATCTATAGGTGTGGTAGCTACCTTAGTAGGCTCACTCGATGATTGATGTGGCTTGTTTTTTGTAGATTTTTTACTAGAGTTTAAAGTCATAAAATGCATATTGTTTACTTTCCTTTTTTTTCCTCTTATTCACTGGAGTAGTAATACCATATTTAATAATATTATTGTAAAAATTTAGAATTTAGAATAAAAAATACTGTCAGACAATAAAAGTACAGTTATCAATTCAATTTCTCTCTATTTCAGACAATGTCCATAGCACAAAAAATACAAAGCAAATGAGATTGAAATAAAGGAGAATATGTATGTATATACTGAGGCATTTGTCTCAGGTTAACATAAACTGGCAGATGCAACAAAACAAAATAAAATAGGTTTGCCTATTTTACAGGTTTCAATAGTAATCATCTTAATGTAATAAATAATTCTATTTTAGTATCATTTTTGAATTTTCAATTAGATGATTAACAGTGGACTTTATCAGACTGTTTTCCAATAAATAGAGTCGGCACATAAATCCATGTACTGATTTTCTAATATAGAGAAAATACAATTATTAAATTGAGAATAAACAATACTGTTGTAAGAGAGAATTTGAATTACAATTGTAAAGAGAATTAAAACTACAATTTTAAAACTGAGAATCAAAAATCCAACTTGTTAATATTTACCTAAAATACAACTGTAAAATAGAGAATTTGAATACAACTGTATAATTGAGATTTCACCAAACCAATATTAAATTTGGAAACAAATTACATTCATTTCTATGATTATTTTAATCATTATATATCACTAACTAAAGTATAAACTACAGACAAAATTTTACTTTTGATGGTAAGATCTATTAGATGTTATAATTTAAGTTCTGCCTATATACAACCCACTTACACTTGATCGATCTGTAGAAGTTTTTAGACACAAAAGTGATGTGATTGCCTTAAGTGTGAATAAGACATACAGCCTAGACTAAATTCTTTCTCACTGATCAATTAGTGACTTCCATTACATGGTAATTTACCTTGGTTAGCGTGTGACAGAATTCCAGACAACAGTGTTTAGTAACAATTGATGTGCGTACTTATATGGGGAGACACTTGGGATAAATCAACATAAAAGTAGATAGTATTTGAATCTTACTAGGATCACAATAGAATTTAAACTAAGCAATCCATCCAACGGTAGGCTTAGAGGCTGAATATTTTGCAAGAACTTGCTTAGATTTCTTAAGAGTTCTATAATGACATTAATTAGCAGGCTGTAATATTTAATGAGTTTAGTGCTATGGTTGAAGTACTTGATTACAAATTCTAAAAATCCAAGGTTTATATCCTATAAAACAGCAGCATTTTTTTTCTCACAAAGAAACACTCCATTCCGTATATTATATTAACTTGGTGATTCCACATTACAGTGGTGTTGAATTCCTAATAGAATGTCTTTAATTTATACTGTACCATTTTAAATAAAAAAATAAAATAAATAAAAAATTGCAAAAAAATGTATCTTGTATCTACCGCCCTCTATTGGCCATATACAACAACAGCTGAATTTTAACACATATAGCAATCCCCAGAAACAATATTTACCTTGTTGGTGTATTTGTTTGGGGTACTGTAGATATTGTTTTCTCAGGTTCAGTAGATGTGGTAGGCGATACAACTGGCTTAGAGGCAGGGCAGATGTCTCCCTTATTAGCTTGAGTTGACACACCACTTGTGTTTACGGCCTTGGAATCCTGAGGTTTTGCAGCTCTCTGAAATAATAATAAATTATACATATAAAATTTCACTTTGCATTTGGCCTAGGGCATGGATGTGTACCGATTATTGCTACAATGATGCCCGACTCATTGGTATTTCCTAAAGCAAAATGATACACACCAAAACACCTTCTGTTTTCAAGAGCTGTACCAATCAAGAGGTTCCAATACCAGTCTACGTAACCTAAGCAATTGTCGGCCATTTATAGTCGTTATAGTGCCACCAATGTTTGTAATTTGCATTTTTTTTAAAAGCCAAAATCTAGCGATTTTCATGACGTTTTCATCAAATATTTAGTTGTTGGGTTTTGTTGAAGAATACATTCACCCCCTAATTTATCAGCCTAAGTCCTTATAATCAGTAAAATATGATAAATAGGTCTCTCTCTAATTAGAGACCACCTCCAATTAAAGACCATTTTTCTGTGGTCCAAATTATACCTGTCTCTTATACACATCTAGATGTGTATAAGAGACAGAAACTAAGCAATCCATCCAACGGTAGGCTTAGAGGCTGAATATTTTGCAAGAACTTGCTTATATTTCTTAAGAGTTCTATAATGACATTAATTAGCAGGCTGTAATATTTAATGAGTTTAGTGCTATGGTTGAAGTACTTGATTACAAATTCTAAAAATCCAAGGTTTATATCCTATAAAACAGCAGCATTTTTTTTCTCACAAAGAAACACTCCATTCCGTATATTATATTAACTTGGTGATTCCACATTACAGTGGTGTTGAATTCCTAATAGAATGTCTTTAATTTATACTGTACCATTTTAAATAAAAAAATAAAATAAATAAAAAAATTGCAAAAAAATGTATCTTGTATCTACCGCCCTCTATTGGCCATATACAACAACAGCTGAATTTTAACACATATAGCAATCCCCAGAAACAATATTTACCTTGTTGGTGTATTTGTTTGGGGTACTGTAGATATTGTTTTCTCAGGTTCAGTAGATGTGGTAGGCGATACAACTGGCTTAGAGGCAGGGCAGATGTCTCCCTTATTAGCTTGAGTTGACACACCACTTGTGTTTACAGCCTTGGAATCCTGAGGTTTTGCAGCTCTCTGAAATAATAATAAATTATACATATAAAATTTCACTTTGCATTTGGCCTAGGGCATGGATGTGTACCGATTATTGCTACAATGATGCCCGACTCATTGGTATTTCCTAAAGCAAAATGATACACACCAAAACACCTTCTGTTTTCAAGAGCTGTACCAATCAAGAGGTTCCAATACCAGTTTACGTAACCTAAGCAATTGTCGGCCATTTATAGTCGTTATAGTGCCACCAATGTTTGTAATTTGCATTTTTTTTAAAAAGCCAAAATCTAGTGATTTTCATGACGTTTTTATCAAATATTTAGTTGTTGGGTTTTGTTGAAGAATACATTCACCCCCTAATTTTTCAGCCTAAGTCCTTATAATCAGTAAAATATGATAAATAGGTCTCTCTCTAATTAGAGACCACCTCCAATTAAAGACCATTTTTCTGTGGTCCAATATTAACAAATGTATATCAAGGTATCTTTTATTCATAAACACAGTCAAAATACATTAAAAAAACATTTCTGGCAGTTCACAGAACTGAATTGTGAAAACGTTAAAAATACATTATTTATAAAATTATTAGTTATTTCAATTAAGATTCAAATTATTATTACTGTACAAATTATTTATAAAATTATTTTAATATATGTACAAATTAAGGAATTGAACATTCAGTTGACACACCATAATAAATAAGGCTGCAAAATAATTATGTATTTTATTCCTATTATTCTAATTGGAGACCAAACATGCTAAAGACCATGGAAACCTGGTAACAAAAAGTGGTCTTTAATCGGAAGGGAACCTGCATCTTTAAAACTACATTTCAATATTTAACAAACTTACAATTCCTTTGCAAATATCTGCAAAATTAGTCACAGTTTCTGCTTCTGATACCTCTTTTGGTGCTGCCTCTTTCCCAACCTCCACTCTGGAAGTTTCAGTATGCCCCGGAAGCGGTGGAAAAGAGGAAGGGTCTAAAGAGGGTGAGGGAACTTTGGCAACTGATTCCTTCTCTTTGGTTTCTCTGTAATTTTTTCGACTGGATGCACTGTCATGGCGACGTCTTGGTCGCTCGTTGAAAGGCAGGTTACCAGTACTTCTCCTAAAATAAAAAAAGTTTTTTGCATTGTTAGGTGATCGTTCCTTATGAATACGCTTCGATTTACTTTACTCGAGTATGGTGACTTTTGTTCCATAAGTGACACTATCTTTACCTTTCAATAAGTGCAACTAGTAAGAAACACAAGACGCATGATTTAATGTTTTCCACACATCCGTTAACAAGAATATCACAGAATTCACACATCAGTTGGTTGGGTAATCAGACCGATAATTATTATTGTTATTTTTCAAATATCTGACATCTCATGCTCCAAATTATTCAACTCATGGTCCGTTTTTGGACTGGGAAATGGGAGTTGAGAACCAGGGCTGTAGGTGAACTATAAACTGAAATGAGTCTCATTTCCATGTCTGGTTATTATTCTAAGTCAGAATGTGCAAGACATGTGGGTATTAATGATGGTAATATCTTTCCTTGGTGTGGGCTATACATCACTAGCCTAATGACACTCTTGGGCCATAATGCACCAAGATATTGATTTTCAAATCTATAAAAAGCTCAGTTATTTTCAGGTGCAGAGTTAATGAGCTTTCTAATCAACTTTGTCTATTTTTTCTTATTATAAATACTTGTATGTTATTTCCAGTAGGTGTATGCACATATCAAGTAATTGAATCATACTATTTAAACTACATTAGTGGAAATCTAATTAGCACAATTCTTATTTATTATTTTATTTAATACACCTTGAAATTATCATTATTATACTTACTATATATATGTTATATACCTAATTACTTCAAATTACATTACTAGGAATAAGAAAGATGATGTCTTTTATGGCCATGTTTCCGCAGCACTTAAACCTGATAAATTATTGGAAAGCAGCCATTTGTTATTCTTTTCATTACAGAAACACGGTCTAAGATTACTAAACTTTTGCAGCCTTATTTATTATTTTGCATCAAAACGTCTGAACAAAAAATGTTTCCCATAGTAGATGTTTTCTTTTATTTCTTAGACATTTATAAGGCTGATAAGATTACAATTTTTAGAATTTTAACCAAATGATCCTACTGGGAATGTCAGGCCTGACAAATCGCCAGGGAGATGAACAAAATGGAATTTGAATTTTATATATATATACATATATATATATATAATCAATATACAAAAATTTTTTAAATGTATAATTTATATTGCATCACATTGTACTTGTTTTGTTTGATATTTCTAAGCTACTTAGAAGGAACTTATTGCAGACATACAATAATAAATCAGACCTCACCTATTCATTTGTTGCTGTCCTTTAACATGGTTATTATAATCATCATGATTCCTAGGTCGTGGATGCACCGGCCCATCATTATTCCGTCTGTTGTATCCATTCTGTTGGTAATCACGTCCTTCACCTGAAATTTTCCTTTCATTCGTTTGTTCTCGGTCATAGTTCATCGGTCTGGCGTTATTACTATTACTTGAATTCACTGTATGACGTCGTTCGTGATTTAGTTTATAAATGTTATCATCGGTAACACCATGCTCAATCGATCGAAACTCTGGTGTACTCATTGTCCGTGATTTTTGTGGTCTGAAATAGAAACAATAAGTGACAATTACACATTAAATGCTGGAAATAAATTATCTTGACAATTAAGTAATAATGTTCTAAATAAATAAATTTCACTATATTAAATACTAAAATTAGATCATCTTCGATAGAAGGTCCGGCTGCGATAAGCACAACGTTTTATGGCACATACATTCTATTTTTAATTATGTATTTATATCATAATCAATATACATAGCAAAGTTGACAACTTCGGAGGCATTATAATTAGGCATTAGTGAAGTTTTAGAATACATGATCCTGGAATCACACAGGGGTTTAGTTGGGGCAGGAATTTTTTAGTGGCCACTTGACAACCCGAGACTCTCGCCCGACAATCAATGCGGTGATGTCAGATGATTATCGTCATTAAAATCTTATGACTGAACATCGATAACTAACTAAAGCTCCACTTGAATTAACTCATTATAAAACAAATCCTGATATGTTACCTGGTCACGTTCCTTTGGTACACCTGTCGATTTGTAAAAGGTAATTTCGGATGACTTGGGAAGGCACTAGATGTAAAAGGCTGCTGTGGTGGCTGTAGGAGCAGAAAAATAAAATGTTAAAAACCTTTCAAATTCAGGGTTACCACCGAACATAATATGCTCAATTCATCATCCTTATTTAGTAGCTTTGAAGCATGCCCACAGACACATCCATCAATCTACCTGTCACTCACTCTTTTTTCATTACTTGCTATCTACATCAATAAAAAAACATTCTGACCCGCCCACAGACAACCATACAATCTACTGTAATCCCACGCAAATTGCACACAACTATAAAAATTGATAGGGGTAATTGCAATTTTGGTAACACTGCTTTTTTTTTCCATTTTGTAAATTACAACAAAAAGAGCAAATGCTGTTTTTACGTGAAAAAAAAAATTGCACAATATGTACCCCCAATTGCACAATATGCACCTCAAATTTCCAGGAATAAATCTCTCTAGTTTTGATTGTGGTTGAGTTACAAATTGAACATCATGTGTAGTTAGCATATTAAAAGTCATCAAATAAACCAAATTTGCTTAATGAATAGTTAACATAGTGGGTGTTTCTTAATTTCATCTAATCAGAGATGCAAATAAGATGCAATGAAATAAAATGCAAAATATTTCCAGGAAAAACTGACAAGTTAATATATGATAAAAAGGATGGTATTACTTTGAGAAAATGAAAAGGTTGGTTTACTTTTTGATTTCTTGTGCTGCTTAATTGTCAATAATAAAATTTAAAAAAAAATAAAAAAATAAACTTGTTTACACTTTGTTCTTTGTGATTTGTTTGTTCTCTACCTATTGTTTTGACACTGCGCCTTGAGCACAAATTTTTGGTGGTGATGTGTGCGCTTTAAAAATCGTTATTATTATTATTATTATTAAAATACTAAATAAACCATGTCTAACCCTAGAGATGGGAATATATAACAAAAATTTATGAGGATTGCTTGTAATTTACAAAATAAAATGAAAATTCAAAAAGATGAATGCAGCTAGAAATAAATTACTGATTTTTTTACACAAACTAAAATACAGAGTTAAACTAAGAAAAATTGAAATTGTATTAATTTAATTTCAACTACTTTTTAAAATGGATTATTAGTTACATATATAATTTGATTGGCTGAAAGCCATCATGTGATGAGAGCTACTTAAAGATAAATTTATTCACTAGATAATGATATTATAAATCTCATCAGCATATATACTATTATAATACTGCACATATGAAAATGCCATTAAATACTTAAGCAATATGCTTTTATTAAATTGAGACAGAAAATCAAAATCTGCCACTCCTTAGGGACTAAATCTTTAATATTCCTTCATTTGGTAATAAAGATTGAGAACATACTTCACTTGTATCTAAAGTGTTTATGTCGTTAAGAACCTCATGTTGCACCATACTCATCAACATAAAAATAATCATTTACAAAGAAACAGATTCTTCATTGCCATATCCAATTAACATGACATTGTTAGCAGTAAATCTAGGTTTTCCCCCTAATGCTTCAGGCCTTAAAAGCGATCCTGTCATCTCCATTAAACTCTTACATTCAGATTTGAGGTAAATGACAACAAAATAATTTATACATAGATATTGACGTCAGCAGCAGCTCAGTGATGTAACAAAATCAGCTGTCTGTATCGCACTGCTGCTTTTTTCTTAAACATGTTTTTCACAATTTGTCTTCAGAATTTCAAAATATGATGCATGGTGCTAGCCTAGCCTGGCAGATTGATCTCGATAATGACTAGATCGAGATAAATGCGATAGATTTTAAAAATTTTAGATGAGATAAATGATGGGACATCGACAAGTTCTAACAAACAACATTTGAAATCTAGCGTGTCCAAACCAGTCGAAATTACGTTAAAGTTTCAGTTTATTCAAATTAAGAATGTGAATAATTTAAGTACAGATTCTAAAGAAATATAACATTTAAAGTCAGGCTTCAGAGGAAAACATTTCTTTGATATGTTGTACAACTGATGATTTTTCTAAGACAAAAGAAGTATATTTGATGAAAAACTTGAGAGTGGTTAATGAAATAGATTTTTGAATATTTAAAAAAGGTGTGTAACCACCATTCTCCACCAAAAATATTTTAAGATGTTTGAAAACACCATTCTTAATGATTTAATTATTCAATTTGGATGAACTTCAGCACTGTGGTTACTATTTTATCAACCAAATGCACATGGCAAATATTGGTTGGTAACAATCACTACTACAATATGGACTAGGCCTATAGTCAAAAAGAATTGCTGATGATCAACCTTGATTTTTTAATATCACTCTGCAACACTACAATTTGTTTTGCTTCGTACATGTTTAGTGTGATCTAGATTTCGACAGACTGTGGTCAAAATGGAGTCAAGGTGAGACCTTTTTTATACCTTGTTTAGCGAGCCTACCGATAATGATGATTTCGAATTAAAAATAATTTTTTATTTTTGGCCAATTAGCGTAAATGCTGCCACAAAAAAAAAAGGAAATTTCAGAAAAAAAATAAAATGTTTTCTTTATTTCTATTATGCCCGTCGCTGCCTTTAAATCTCCAAAAATAAGATATGTATATTTCTTCCTAATCATATAAAAAAGCATAAACAGTACCCATCCCATTATGACACTGTTTATGTTCACCAATAAAATTTTATTTTTCTTCTGTATGGATGTTTTTTGCAAAAACCATTTCATAAATAAAAAAGCAAAATTTTATTTTTATTTTTTTCCTCCCTTTCTCTGACAATCTATAAAAAAAAATTTTGCAAAAGAAGGCTAAGAAAAGTCTTGCATAAAAACTAACACTTACCACATTGGGCGCCTCAAAGTAAGATTGCGTCGTTGTCCATGGCGGCTGGGGCATAATTTGCGGGTAGTACGAAATCGGTGGTGGGCCCGTGTGAACACCATTTATCTGAGCTTGAGATACGGCCGGGTACTGGAATGGCTGAGTCAATGGTGCTGGAGGTTGGGCGTACGTAGTTTGGCCGGACGGTGTTTGACTGAATCCATTTCGGGACTTGGGTGGGTAACTCACTCTTTGAAGAGGCTTGGCTTTTATCCTTGCCTAAAAAGCATTTTAGAAAATGGATCTTGAAAATATTCATTTGTACGATTATGAATGGCAGATGTATAAATGTCAAAATAAACCTTTTTGGGAGCGATTTAGGACTTATTGGGTTAAAATGTCAATCCACTAAAATCTCTGTAAAAACTGAATTGGTAAAAAGGGAGACTACATACCATAATTGGTTTTCCTTGGAAGGTTTGGACAACTTCACGTAAGTAGCGATATGCATTCTGTGCATCTGTATCTGAATCAAAGGTAATGTACCAATTGTTGTTATGAGCAAATTCGCAGCTCACCATTGGAGGACACTTTGGGCCAGAGAACAACTTCTGTACATCCTAAAAATGGAATAACAGAAAGTAATTAAAACATATACTTCAATAATTATAATAACTTCAATTATTATTAAATAGTGGCTCCTAGGAAGATACAGAAGCAAAATGAAATGTACCTTCACCTCTAAAATGTTGTTCAGGACTAAAATAGGAAATAATTTTATTTTTATAAAAAGTAACGTTCAACCTATCTTTTCCAATCCAATATCAGGTGAAAGATCACTTTAAGCTTTATGTACGCATGCAATCATCATCACTGAATGTTAGTTGTTGAGTTAAGCTTTTCAGAACATCTACTGGGAATAACGTGTGTCATAAGAAGCTACAAAAATACAGTGTAATAAAGCATGATGTGTCATGTGATACATGTCATGTGATATGTCAGGTGATAAAACTTATGTCATGTGATACAAATTTGTCATGTGATACAAACTTAAGTCATGTGATACATGCTTATGTCATGTTGATACATATGTTTATCACATGATAAACATATTTGACATGTATTCTCACAGGTATCCTTATTATACTTCCCTTTCATCATTTTGGCATTTCTTTCAATTTTTCTTTCCTTACCCATAATTAATTCAAAAATATCAATCTGGTAAAGTATTATATTAATAATTCATTCAATTAATAACACCTATTTACAATTCATGTATTCACTGATTTGTTTATTCCATAATTCATCAGTTTTCGTTAGCGGCGTGGTACAAACTAAGTAATTATTTGTAAGGAAATACTATATCTAGAATTGTAAAGATTTTTGTAACTTATCTCTCAGTGCTAATGTTAAGACAAAATGGATATGCTTATCTCACAATTGTAAGATAAATTTCAATTAGAAATATTTATCTATAGACATACCGTAATTTACTGCACCTGCATTGAACTAATAAGGCCCTATGAAAAATATTATTAGTTTATCAGTCTATCTAGGTGGGAAAAGTAATGAGGGAGACCTTTTGTTTATTTTTTTTTTATTTGCTAAAACTAAATATCCTTGGATTGTTTGCTGGTGCATTGATATTCAAAGTAAAACATGACTGAGATAATACAAACAATATCTTAATTTTTAATAGAAAAAATGAAAGTATTTTTTTTTTTTACAGTAGCATAGAAGACATGTGCGCGAGGGTGGTAGATAATTTCTTTTATTCGACTAATAACTTCAGGTTCATTACTAACAATAATTCTTTTTTAATAGTTAAGCAAGGCACTAGCTTACATTTAAAATATATGAGAAAATATAATTTCCTTACAAATTAACAGAACCATAAATAATACTATCCATATACTCTCCAATATACTAAATTGTTAATCATTATATATGGCATTTATTTATGAATAATTTTATTTTATTTCATTTGCAGGAAATGAAGATAAAAAAAAACCTTTACTAATAGGTTGGCGAGAATTATAATCAACATGGTAAGTATCCATAAAATATCTATATGTGTATGAACAAAGACAGCCATCATCAGGACTGGTTTGTGTGTTCTGTGTATGGATTTTTGTAAGTGATATCAATGGGTAATCCATATTCTGCGCATCTTTTATTACAATTCCTATAAGAAAATTGAAAAAGAGATATATTCCTTAAATTATCATTGCTGAAAATACAAAATATCTTTTATCAAATTAATTTATGATCTGTATTTGTTACTTTCATATCCGAAATCTGGTTTTTCTTAACAACAAGTTGGACGCATGTGATAATTTATTTCGATGCATGTGATGATTTATAAACTAAGTGTGATGGGAAATAAATGAAATTGTTTTTTTTTTTTTGAGAATGAATCCCAGAATTTCATGATTTGAACTCACTACCTCTGGGACTAGATTATGGGGATTTCAAGCACTATAACTACAGCACCAATGCCAATAACAGTGATAAAAGCACTTTGCATGAGAGTTTGTATGTTCCAAGGATCATGCTTAAGACCAAGTTGCTGGCTCCTGATCAAAGCGACAGGCATCTGGTCATTCCACAGAATTGATATATCAATAATGCTTCACAGAGTAATTCACGATTTATCTGATGAATTCTAGAAAACCACGTAAAGGTTGCAACGTGACCCCATTCTTGAGCTTCATCAGTGGTATTGACAACTTAGATAAATCATCGCGGCTAGTTAGTCTGCTGGTTCAGACGTTTCTCCTTTCTTTAAATGAAACTGAGATCACGATTACAAACAACTACTTCCGGAGATTACGATAAAATTTTGATAAAGTACATTTCTGTTAAAAGCTGCTTCTCGCAAATCCATTAACCTAGTCCGCCGGATGTCAAGGTAATTTCACAATAAAATTAACGCCACAGCAACTATCGCTTATCTATGTACTCATTCATTTTTCTGATTACATTAATTGCACTTTTGCTCCCTGAATAGCTAATGAATAAGCTAGACATGAACAGATAACATTTACCCAGTTTAATGTTTAGTACTTGGAAATAAATCTTGAACACAAACGCAACATACTGGTCAATACGGAATTGCAATTACGAGTAAATCTTATGCATTATGCTCGTTATTTAATGATGCGCATACATTTTGATGAGCTTATTGTCTGCGTCAATAAAGTAGCTACTACTACTGTGTATCGTTACTCTTTGCATTTTATATCGCCCATTATACATTTTTATTCAGCCTTCTTGCATATATGACAATCATGGATGAACAGCCATACATCCTAATTGTTAAACAAAGAATAAATGAAACATCAATGGCTAATGGGAAGCTTCCAATGATCATGTGATTATTTTCAACCAATAATGAAGTTAGGAGTTATTATCAAAGCAAAGCAGTCACCATAATAGAAAAAAATCTTTATCATGAGGAGCAGGCCTATTTTTCCACATGCTTTGTTATCATTTGATGATTAGCACGAAGATCACTAAATTAAAGCCCTGTTAAGACTATCCAATTTTAATTGACAAAAACATATGACATCACATCATGACCATACATAGGCACATCATGACTATATATGGGCATACAACAATTTTTTGTCAAAGAAAATTTGATAGTATGGCTAGAGCATTATATGCTATAAAACAACATTATGAAGCCTAGTTCACACTATTAATTTTTTTGACAATAAACGGTTGTATGCCCATAAATAGTCTAAAAGATCGAAGACAAAGAGTGATGTATAATGGCACAACTTCCCAATGATTTTCTCCTGAGTCCCACAGGGATAGAAACTGTGCTTGGACTGTTGCTGTTTGTCATATTCATCAATGATATAAGCCAAGGAATACAATCCAATATACGTCTCTTTGTGGACGATTGCATGTTATATCGAGGCGTCCTCGATATCTACGACTGCAATGGTATACAAGACGACATCAATCTGCTAACATCTTGGGCTAAGAAATGGAACATAAAGTTTAATACAACCAAATGTGTAGCCATGAACATCACAAAAAAGAAAAACAAGTTAAACCCTGCATACAACATGGATAATACAGAACTGAAAATTGTAAAAACAGCATCCATACCTCGGTGTCGCCATATGAGAAGATCTATCATGGAGAGCTCACTACGAAAGTATCACAGCGAAAGCATATAAAGTCCTTGGCATGTTAAATAGAAACATGTGCACATAAAATAAAAGAATTAAAAACCAAGCATATACAACCCCAGTAAGACCAATCCTGGAATATGCAAGCTCAGTATGGGATCCATATACCAAATTACACACAAAGCAATTAGAGATGATCAGCGTAGAGCAGCCAGGTTTGTGTTAAATGATTATAGAAGGGATTCTAGTGTCACAAAGACGATCTAGGAACTGAACTGGGATTCACTTGAGGAACGAAGGAGACTTACCCGACTTGTACGGTTTCACAGAGCAATAAATGGTGAAATAAACCTCACATCTCTACAAACACACCAGGGATGATCAAGACATGGGCATGACAACATGTTCCAGAGACCACACACCAGAACAAATGTCCACAAATTCTCCTTCATCCCAAGGGCAATTGCAGATTGGAATGGCCTTAACCCACAAATTGTTCTTGCAACAAAAACAGAAGAGTTTATAAAACAAATCCAAAATAAACAACAAACAAGTTAAATTACAGTTACACTTGAAGAAAACAAAACCAACAAAGTCAACTTCATACTTTTTTATGCACGTCCGAATCAGCGCTTGCAAATCCCATGGCAGTAATGGTTCTTTAATGGACTTTTTGTCGCGTAACAATGATGAAGATGAAGCCATGGAATTGCCCATATATGGTCATGATGTGATGCAATCGTGACTATATTTAGGCATGTCACATGTGTTTGTCAAACAAAACTTCATAGTTTGGACAGGGCTTAAGGCCCAGAAAAGCTTGTGTTGCCAAAGCAAATAGTTTTATTACATGCACAGTCCAAATTCTACAGTTTATGACTAACCATTACTTGCCACATTCATTGTGAAATTTGCAAGTGACGGTTAAGTTAATAAGTGATGTACTAAAAGGTTTAATTAAATACTTGACCATGATTTATTTGAAATTTACATAAATTAGTCTACTCTCATTTTATATGAGTTAAATGGATCAAAGAACAGCGAATTGAAGGGGAAAAAATGAGTAATTACAAACAATAGCAGTAATTAAAGTACTTATTTATCATAAAAGGCTAATGAGCCTTTCAATTTCACTACTTGTCCCCTTGACTAGATGAATGAATATACAAAAGGGAGGAGACCTGCTCTTTCCCAGTCTACTATTTGATTGGAGAATATTAATGAGTACAGTGTGCGAGTATCAAATCCAAGAAAAAGTGCTCTAATTTGCTTCCGGTAGCGCTCTGGATGGATTCCCAACGCTCAATGTGATTGCTAATATTAGATTAATATTGCGTGGAAGTCTGACTGCATATCAATCAAACGGAAGTTGAATGGACAAGATGACTTTCATTCCCTTCGGATTTTATTGATACGTCACTTGGATTTCACTGCGTGTAACATGAGATATGCTCTGCAGACCAAACATAGCGTAAACAGACCACTTAAAAAAAATTAACACATAACATCATCATATGTGAAAACAAAGCACAAGTTATAAACACACGCAGCTGGTCGACACTCACCTCTAAGGGGGTACTTTCTGGTACCTCTCGCAGAATGACAGTACGTCGTTTATGACTAGGCCGTACCTTCTTAGATGTAGGGTCCACCTGAACACATGTTGACTCTGTAAGAACGTATAGTACACCAAATTGTCATTAAAGCTATCATCATCATTCACATAAAAAACATTACCATATTAATATTGTTTCAAGGTTTGCATGGCAAAGTAACAATATATTTAATGCTTGCAGTGCACCAAAAAGCAACTCAATCCAAATGTCAAGACCTTTTCAGAACTATCTACATGGTATACTGCAAGCATTAATTATAACATATTAATGGTACATTAATCGCAAAAACGATGGCAATTAATCCAAATTAATAACATTAACATCAACATAAATTTATTATGAATTGCATCTGAGTAGTTTACCTTTAAGTACATCGATAATAAGCGTTATATCTGTTGTTAATCTCTTAACAGCATTGAAGTTTGCTATCGTCCAGATGGGTACATATTGATCTGGATCCATTTGAGATTGAAGATAACGATCATTAGTTAAATTCTCCCTGAAAAAACAAAAGGAAAAAATCTGGTGAGTTACTTGAGTGTGACACTTAATATGGAAATGTTTAACTCTCATGAAAAAGCCACATCCTGAGTATATAACGGTTATGAAGAAGCCATATGTGGTAACTAAAAACATGTCGTAATTATTCTATCTTTCTGAAGATAAAAATATTGCATTACATACATAATTCTAAAAATTTTTATAATATTCTTAATAGTCAATATTATTTCAATCAATAGATACAGTGTTCATGAACATTTTAATATATTTTAATATCAAATATTATGTGGAAGCATATGGCTTATAGGCCTAAATAAAGTTATGAAAATTATTTTAATAAATTCCTTACATAAATACCAAGAAATACCACTGAATTTATCAATGTCTACATATAAACCTTGAACTGTCAATATTAAAATGTAACAGCCATTTTGAATGTCTATAATCACTTCAAAAATGTATTGAATATTAAATATACTGTACATCATAGAAATTAAGCATGTCTTTACATCTTTAGAAGATAGAAATCTGATTATGACCTTCGAAGTAGTATTATCATCACAAATTAATGGATAACTGAAGGTGATGAAAGGTAAGTAAATGTGATGCAAGGTGATGGAAGTAGAATGTGTGAGAAAAAAAAAAGAAATAAAGATAAGGAAAAAGGGAATAATACTTAAATTTTTGGAATTTACTCTATTAAGAAAACGAAAAGAAAACTAGATACCAAATACTTTACTTAAGTATCAACTGAAAGTAAAACAGTCTCTAATGTTTGTCATGACATTTTATCATCCAGATGACATCATTAACACAACCTCATGAATATTTTATACTAAATAATACTACGGATCAGGATAGGCAGATTGAAGTCTAAATTATAATGATTTTACAATGAAAAAGTAAAAATATCTCACAAGAGCCTACTCAGTGGTGGCTTAATACATTAGTAATGTACATACATTAAAACATGCACCTCAAACTTAGCTTTATCATTTATATGAACATAATTTTTGTAATGATGACGTGTATTAATCAGTATATGCTCAGATGTCAATCTCCACATAATCGTTAAAGAAATTATGTATTATAGGAGATGGTTGTGAATTTTCTCAATACTGCTGACATAATCATGAGAAAATAGCATATGTACGATATTAATATTTTAATGTGAAGAAATATCATTTAATGACGCATGCCAAAGAATAAAATACATCAGAATCAAGAATGGTTTACAATACAATGTTAAAATGTGTAGGAAGTTGCACATAATACCAATATGGTGAACTGATTGTTGGAATAATCTATAATTAAAAACTGAAATCCTTATACAGTAATGAAAAAATATTTTATGAATTGGTGTGTGACCACTTCATTAATTCAAGGCTTAAAGTGGTATAAGATTGATATTATAATTTATTTATTTATTCTTTATACTGAGTATACACTTTCAATACATAGTACTGGTTACCAAAGTGGTTCAGTTCTTACAAAATTTTAAAAACAGATATATACAAATGGTAACCAAAAAAGATGGATAACTTAACTACGAATTAAAATAGATTTAAAAGGAACATTGAAAGAAATTTAAGAAAAAAGAAAAAAAAAAACTTAAATAATAAATATGGATATGCAAGGTAAGAGGAAATCAGGTTAAATTAAGATGGTATTATGAGGATTTGAAATAGAATGCTTAAAATTTGAAAGTGTCATAGATTTAAAGTTGGTGTGATGTAAGCATTTTGGCTGTATTTTGTATGGATGGTTGATTTATATTTCAATCTGTCAATGTGATAATAATGTGACAATGATTATAATTTTGGTGATGACAATATTGTAAATCAAACCCCACTAAGCCACACCATACTTACTACTGTAATAAACCTGCTCATTCATTGAAAAAAAATTGGCCCTGTTCCAAATACCATACAAATCATTAATACATTTATTGTAAAATAACAATGTTTTTTTTAAATCAAGCCCCACCATATGGACAGAGAATCATCAAGAATCATTGTACGTGAAAGGATGAGTACGTGGTTTTTCCACGTCATCTGGTTATGTTAACTAGACAATAATATATTAAAGCCTGAGTGATCTGTATGCTCCGTGTGCTGTATGTAGTGTGTCTGCATACATCTTTGATCATTTCATCAGCATTATTAGCATAAATTTCCGCGGCAGGTCGAGAAGCAATATGTTAGCAACACCTGCAAACATGCACAACGTACAGCTACTACTCTGTAAGCATTATGAAAATCACTCGGCTTAAATGTCTAATAAAATAAATGAAAGCAATAATTTGCTGATAAAATCTATGGACACTATTATTATGAGCCAAAAAACAAAGCCTTAAAAAATATATAATTATTAACAGTAACAACACTAAAGATAAATAGTCTACAATTATCCCACGTAGCAACGTTTCTAGTACCAAAAGTTACTATCGTATGATCTAAAAAACACATTAAGTTAGTGTGATATATTACAAAGGCATAAAGCTGTAGAATATTCTCTTTTAGAAATATCATGATTTTCATATAAAAAAATATTTATCAAACAATATTAATAAAAAATATAATGAATCTATTTATTCATAATCTATTTGGTTATGTATTAATTTGTCATGGGAGGGAGAAGATGAGGAAGGAGGGATAATTACTCCAAAAAATTTAATAAACATCCCAGGAAACAAAATTGAGAGGGCTATTTATTCCAAATGATGTTCTGAACGGGTGTAGGTTATTATTTAAAGGACTTTTCTCATTAAACAAGGCATAAAGTTTCATGTTCTTCGCATTACTCTTAAATTAGCTAAAAATTTGAAGGTCTATGTTATCACTAAAAGTTAATAACTTACTTGATCCTTTTGAATAAGCTATTTTTAAATGTTCTAATTGTTTAAAACAACCTTCAAAAAGAAGAAAAAAAGATTAAGTGGGGAGTTATAACCATTATCTTATGTTATCTTATTAAATAGATCACAAAATTATGTTGTTATATATACTATATTATATTATTTATCATAATACCATTTATCTTTATAAATAAAATATTACCATACTGTACCTTTAAACCTTACTTAGCTTCCAATACAAAATTAATAACGAGTGACTCACTATAAAGTATAAGGCTGAGGTAAGTACCATAGTTGTTTGCAGACGCCATTTACATTTTTTACAAGTATAAAAATGTTGTATACCACCAAAGCTACAGACTGCATACTAACACTTTCATAAATTAAATTTATAGTAATATCAATATCATTTTTAAGTAATGGTGCAATTTAATAATATGTTCCCACTCACCTCCCACAGAAAGGTTCAATAAACCACTCTTTTTAGAAAATAATTTTAGAATCAATTGAAAGTGGTTCTAAGCACAGATGCTCACTGTTGGATAGGACACTTCAATTAATGTATGTCATGGTAATAAAGTATGAATAAGGATTAACAACAAGCCTATTATTTAACTGATATATTAAAATATAGTGTCTGTAATGAGAAAAGAAGTTTTAAAAATAATATTTAATATTTTGTATACTATATTTATTCAAATAATAATGTTTATTGTTGTGGTGTTTTTGAGGGGGGTGTTTATTCAAGGGAGGCATTTATTTATTTATTTTTCTTTGTAAAATAGATACATATGCATTACTCAACTAAACGCCCCTTAATTTCACTGTAAATGTTGAAGTACAACACATAATTATAGTCAAATGTGTTATTGTGTGATCAAATAAACATTGATCCTAACCAGGTTAGAAATAATGTAATTCTACTGAAGTAGAACATTAACAGAATGTTTTAAGAATAATGTTGCTTCCAATAGATTTGTTTACACACATTTGGGAGGGGGTGGGAAAAGGGAAGGATTTATTTGAGGGGTAAAAATAAACCCCTGGGGTGTTCATTCGAGGTAGCTGTTTATTCCAAATGAGGCTTTAGAGGGGGAGGGTGTTTATTTGAAGCAGGCCTTTATTCAAAGCGGGATATTTGAGAAAAAGATAAGGTAAATAAATTATTTTTAAATTTTAGAATGAAAACAAAATTGTCACCAATTAATAGACATAAACATTAACTTTCTTTTATTCTTTTGCATAGACTTTCAATTGGTTAGTAATCTGTTTTAAGGATGTTTGTAGTAAACATCTGTAAATCAGTTAAAACTTAATTATACTCATCTGTGTTGTATTGGAAGTTAATAAAATAGATGATTTTTCTATACGAGCAATGCAATTTATAGATTTTTGAGGGGTTTTTCCCCATATTTCATAACAAATGATAATCTTTTCCAAGTTTTTCTTATGATACATGTAGAATTTAATATTTAAATACCAAATGAAATATATATCTCATAATTATATTTATTTTTAAAAAATCTGCTTTACATGAATTATGAATTAAATTATAATCTGTTGTTTCTCTAAGTTCCTTGATAAATAATTTTATGAGGCAGAATTTAACAATTACATTTTAATTTGACATAAAAAGAATAATAGATATTAATAGATATTGTCTATGATTCAAAAAGGATACAAAGTAACCAAAGTCATTCTATAAATAGAAAATTCAGGATGGACGTAATTGACATAATCCTTACAATACCTAATCTGCTTTCCCGCTCATAGCATGTTCAGCTACAAGCCTTACTTCTTACTTCTATGAAGATCCATATCATAAAATCCCAATGTGCAACATTAAAAGATATTGAATAACTCAATATGATAGTTATGGCAATCTGTGTTATTTGTATCTGTTAATTGGCAACGAAAAATACTTCTTGTACTACTTTTAATTGAAAACTAATAATTTTATACAAAAGATACAAATTAATGATTTCAAATATTTAACTTTATTTTTAATTCCACAAGGATAATGTGATATGTCCATGTTCTAAATTAAGTTTAAGAATTTTTTCTCAGGTTTAACAAAAAATATCTATAAATAGACCTAATTTAAATAGATAATAATTTAATTACACTTACAGAAAGATTCT